GGTCCACCATTAGTAATCGAATTATTTGGATTGTTCGTAACTCTACTCTGGGAAAAATTTTGACCGTTTTTTGATGTAGTTAAGCAACTTAACATTTCGGTTATTGCCACTTAAGTGAAAATTATCTTTGCGTTACTGAATATCGACAGAACTAATTGAGAGAATTGATTAGTATTACTCTAATATCTTGAATATGGATAGAACGGCTAATTGTGATTTTTAGTTACGCGAGATAAAATTCGTAAAAGTTAGAGTTACGAACAATCTAAATAATTCGATTACTAATTGTGGGCTCCAAAATGGATTGTAACTGACTTTTTTTTTCCCAGAGCAGACCTTTTACGTTGCGAACCCTTTTAAGAAGATACCTCCGTTTCCCTGTATTATTTTCGCGAGACGTGGAACGATAGACCGATAAGAGTTTCATTTGAATTCCAATAAATTTGCAATGATTTACGCCGCTATATTTTTCTCGTCTACGAGCGCATAAACTGGAATGTAAAATACGACCGCGCGAAAATCTCTACTGCATGCATACCAGCTTATATACGTATCCAATATCGCGAGTATCCTCGTAAAGTTATATTGGGTATCGAAAACGTCAGCATAACAACTTCCAAACAACATACGTTGAAGGCTCAATTCGATCCTTTCGGAACGTTATTAGAACGACCAGCTTTTTCAGTCCGGAATATCGCTGCGTCCGCGTAAACAGCGATTTACGTCGAATTTCATTGCGTTTTTATTACAATAAAAGCGACAACGTACGATAATGTCTGTAACAAGCGACTCAGCGACGTAAGAGAATTTTATTTAAGGAATTATATCGGTGTCTCAATGTTAAGTCACATTTTTTTGTAAAAACGAGATCTTTTAGTCAACTTGCTCTCTAAAAGTCAATCAGCGGATTATCACTGATTGACTTGTGGAGTGTCAAGCTGATTAGAAAAACATGAAAATCTCGCTTTTGCAAAAAATGTAACTTAACATTGCGTACCTCTGAGGCACTGATATCTCGCTCATAATGCACAAACGTACGTATAACGTGATGGCATTCGAAAAACTGGCGAGATTATTCAAGATTGCACTGGCGAGAACAAAAGGTTAATAAATACTCAGTGAAAGGATTGCGTCATTACGAGTTATCGAGTAATTCGCAGAAGTGACAACATGAATGCGAGACAGATACGCGCGCAAAATTCAATTATCCGTCGTGCAAATAGAGAGCGATTACTCGCCGCCGCGCGCCGCGGTGGAATGAGAAAAATTTCCCTACACTATCGCAGAAGTGGTCTAGTTTACAATAGTCAAGCCATCGGTTATCGATTCACGAGCACGTTGCCGGCGATATCCTTGAGCGCGCCTGAAAATAGAATAAACAACGATGTCGACGACCCCGGGGGGGCTTTTATCGCGCAATTTTCGCAACCTCGTTACTCGCGCGAACGCGTACGCGGGCAGACGAATTCTCGGCGGCGATCGGAGATGCCGGCGACCCTTGACCCGCCGCTCGTAAAGCCCGGACACTCGATTCCGAGAATCATCGAGGGCGATCGCGCATACGTGTAACACAAGTGTATCCCTTTAACATCCTGCCAAGGTTATCTTTATCGCGCCGCAAGTGCGATTCGCGCGGTTTAATGCAGAGTAATGGTCGTAACGAACAATCGCGATTGAGCGATTCTCCACTTGTGAATGCTTTCAGGTATACATCTGAAACGGCAATCACGCATGATTTCCGACGCGTAAAATTCGTATTAAGTAGCTATCAAATGAATGAGCGTTTCGAGATACGACTAAGGGCGCTGTGAGTGTTAAAAAAAATCTCTTCAGGGAGAGAGTGGAGAATAATAAATATTCCGCCGGGAGATTTAGAAATTAGAGACTTGATTTTCGCAGGCGGCACCAGTCATATCTAAAGGCTAGATTCAGAGGAACCGCGAACCCATTTTTAAACGGAAGACCGGCTGACCTTTCGCCGACCCTGATTCCTTCGGGATCATTAACGATAGCGCGGCACACGCATCGGGATATACCTGATATACTTAAATTTATCGACGGTCTAATCCGCTTTCTGCGAGCCGAGATCAAAGCCGTGGCAGATCTTTTATGGTAAATCCTCGAGTCCCCACGCAGTTTCTATTCTGACGTCTCGTAAAAGGCAAGTTGAAATAAGCCGCCATCGCCTGGCTGCTTTGAATAGCCGAGAAGAATAAATGTTTCTCTTATTTCACATTCCAGTTTTATCATTTAAAATTAACAGTGACATTCAACTGAAACACGTAGTGACAAATCCTCACGACGTTTGGCGAAGAATTTTTAGAAATTAATTAATGACGATAAAACGGTCGTAGTCTCAAGTGTATGTATATACGCATGAATTATGATTACAATAAAAAATTACTATTTATGAATATCGTTTTGCGTTTAACTTGCAATGATACGTCAGAAATTTCCAAACTTATATACGTACCTACATGTGAGATACAATCTAGGAAAAATATAGAAATAAAAACTCATCGAGTATCCTGTTTCCACTTTTCCCTAAATATGTATCGCATTGTCGCTTACAATGACACGTGTATGTTACATGTGTAAGTGTATACGGATATCTATAATATATTAAGTTCGGGTCCGTAGGTAAACGCTGAGACATGAAATGACTGCACAAATCCCTGCGGAAAATTTTGAAACGGCTAATCTCTTATTTCAGCCACATGTTGTACAACCCGCGAAGGTTGGTAGGAACAAAGGAGCGTCTGTAAAATCCTGTGAACTACTGTCTGTCGGTTCAGTAACTCTCAAGCATGGTGCAAGGCGCCTTCGACGATCGCAGAAATGATTCTGCATTAGCAAAATAAATCCCTTTATAGAAGTCGACATCTCAATCGATAGCAGAAGCGGACCGATCGCGATTGAAACGCGATAAACACGGTAAACGTTTGCGTAACATTCGATTCATCGGTTGCCGAGTAATGGGTTTCGTACAGGCTATTCGTTCAGGAGACAGCTTCATTCATTCGCGTTAAGATTTCATCTCGCTTCGTTTAATTTCTCATTGTCCGAAAATAGTAAACTAGTCTATTGGTCGCGGAATACTGGATAAAACCATTCTATCTTTCTATTTCGACAGTGAATTGCAGAGATTTAAATTTTTTCAATCAAGAAATGGTATTCGGTAACGTGAACATTTTATTTCTCACCTCACAAAAATGATAAATTTAAAATAGTCGAGCTAAAAACACAATACATCGTAAACATTGAAAGATTTTTTTATAGACTAGTTTTCCAATTTCATCAAGTAAGAGTGAATATCGTCTTATTTTCGTTCTCTAACAGTTTTCAATACCGTTTTGTCAATGTGAAATAGTTCACGCTCTGATTTCTGGACGTTCGGACGATCTGCATATCCGCCGATAAAACTGAATCGAGACACCCGCCGGACAAAATACTCCCCGGATTCAGTACACGCATTCGCGATTGTTTCTGCTACGCGGCGCGACATCAAAGACTCCAGATGTTGCAGACGGCGATTAAGTAGGTCCCCGCTTTCTTTGAGCGCTCGTGAATCGGCCAGGATGAGGCGGGAGAAGGTGCACGCTAAACACTATTAAGTGCACACTGCACTATTAAACTTATCTCCGAGACAAAATCTGCCGAGGATTCACGAGGGCGTGCTGACCTCCCACAAGCAAAAGGGAGATCACTTCACGGATGAATTTTTTAACGTTGCCGATACCTCTTTCTTGCCCCATATATAAAAAAATTTTTATTTCTCTTAAATCCATATCGATTTCGCGACACTTTACTTTCTCTTTCAAGTCACCGTAAACGTTAAGAAACAAAAGAGATATAAGCCTGATCTACAAGGCGTTCTTTGCGTCTAGAAACATTATATTTTATAAGCAATAAATACAGTTAAAAAATTTGTGCAAATCGATAAATGTATTATACATTGTACAATCGTACGTTATCGATACATTTTTTAAGCGTATTGATTTGCTTATATGTGTATAAAGTAGGATGTTTTTAATTGCAAAAAACACAATGTAGATTAGACTTCAGGCTGCGGGCTACTTGATGCTACACGTAGAGAATTGTTTTTTAAAATTTATCCTGAAAATCATATAATCGTGGGATATTTTGAGCAACTCTATGAGAATTAAATGTATTATCAACTAACAAGAATATTTTTCATGTCGCCAGCAGTCATTAACAACTTCAGTGTTTTTATTGACCATATCTGGCATTTTTAACAATACAGAAAATTTATTGCGAAAAATATTAACCTGGCTGAGGTAATATTTTTCGCAATAAAATTTTCTGTATTATAAAAAATGCCAGATATGGTCAATAAAAACACTAAAGTTGTAAAATGTATTATACCAAGTATAATTACTAGTAAAATGTATGGTAAAATTTCAAAAAACTCTCATACAGTTCTTCAAAATGCCACGTTGTCTCACGATTTTACATGATTTTCAGGGCAAACTTTAAGAGAAAATTCTCTCCGTGTAGAAATGTTTCATTGTCAAGGCATTCTGCTTCTTCCTTTTGAAGAAAAAAAGGAGAATCGTGGGACAACATCGCATTTTAAAGAACTTTATGAGTTTTTTTAAGTTCTTCGATGTTCCACGGTTACATGATTTTCAGGATAAATTTTAAAATAAAATTCTCTCCGTGTCTAGTTATGAATATTTATGTGTAATATCGTTAATTTGTATTATTTAGTTCCCTAAATCACGATGTTCTATTACGTGTGCAGGATTACAGCGATGACGATAACGGCGACGAGGACGAGGGCGATACCTTCACCACGTCGTCGACTACCACCACAACGACGACGACGACGACGATGAGGCCGAAGCCGTCGCAAAGCCAGCTCGATTACAAGGACCCGAGGGCGTACGACAGCAGTACCGGGGCTCAGTATAACGGATACCAAGCGAAAAACGATTACCCGCCGATGTCTGCTCACAGCATTCACAAGTGGCAGTCTCTCGGCACTCGCGAGGGCGTCAAAGAGACCAGGAGCAACATGCAGCAGTACAACAAAAACGGAAAGAGTGAGTGCGCTTCAGATCGTCGAGTGCATCTCGATGACCCTCGCCAAGTTTGTCTTCCTGCGACATCTTTATTGGCGGGAAAAAAAATGCGCGAGCGGAGAGGCGCGTATTAACGGAGCAGTTTGCAAGCGAACGCGATCGCAATCCCCCGTGATCGGTTTATGCAAATTCGCGTAACGTCGTTCTCCATTTTCGCCGATTGACCTGACTCAATTTTGTTTTAGCCCGCCCGGAGATGCGCGCGTTCCGAAATAGTTATTAATCGCAGCCAACGCCGGTGGTCCCTTCCTGGTGGCGGTGTTCGATCAACGTTAATAACACAGTAATATATTTCTCATACGTCGGAGATGCCGCGGTAATTATCGATGTACCTTTCATCGCGCGCGCGTCATGTTTGTGCAAAACCGCAGCGTTGCCTATCCACCTACCTAATACGTTACATGGGGATCGCGCGGATGCACGTGGACGTTCGTGTTCGCGGCAATCAGGCGTACACGATGTAACAGCGATCTGCCGCAATTATGAAACCGAGGCAGCGAGGCATAAATCAATCGGTCGACCGCGACGCGATCGGACAATGTATGCATATCCGCGACTCGGCGCGAAGGGGAGGGGGAGGGGGATCGCATACTTCAAGATCGGCAACGTTTACATTGTAATAGGGACATAATATATCGGCGTAACGATACACCACGACCGTCGTCCGGCCGGTGTAACGAAGGTTTTTATAATTACCCGCCGGCAACACGCAATAGATAAATTCGCCCGTGCTATATTACGATTGCGATACGACTCCCAAGCGCACGCCTCTATTTGCGCCCCGAGGCGTTGCACCTTCTCCATCGACGTGATTGCACAAGCGCCATTCACATCCACATCCGAGAGGACGGGAGAAAGAGAGGGCCGTCGAGATGACTCTTCCTCCTCGGCGGCCTCTCTTATTAACGAGCGGACGACGCGTATCATAAAAACAGCCACTATAAAACGCGATATTTCCAGACGTCCTTGTTTCCTATATTTCCTCTGCTCATCCTTTTTCCCCCCTTCATTTTTTTTTATCATTACGCGCGCTTTATAAACCTACTCCACCGCGAGGCTGGAGTCTCCACAACTCTTTTAGAGTTAACGAATGGCCCCTTGCCGTTAATTACATCCGATTGCGCGATCGCCTCTTCCCTCGCGATCGCCTTTCGAATCGAATCCCGACGCTCAATACGCGCGGGGGCAACGCTCGGTCGGCGGAGAACGGAATTCTACGAGAAACGCGCGCGACGGAGTTCGCGGGGCTATTAATATGTAAATTAATAACGACGATTGTGCGGCCCGTGGCGCGGTTGCGGCAATTCACGCGGCCGCGCGAACTCCTGCACGACGGCGACGGACGTGCGCGCAACGCATCGATGCACGCGCACGTGCGTGCCGCGGGACTGTCGGGCCTTGATTCATAGATTCAAATCGATTTATTATCACTCACCACGTACAATCCCGCCTCCTCCCGCCCAGCGAGAGACCAATCTCGTCCCTCTTGCACCGAGGAAAAAGTCTTTGAAAATTTATTTGAGGCATCTAATGCATTATATGCCACAAATAAATTTTCAAAGACTTTTCTCAGTGTGCACCTGCTCCCGTTCTCCCTCCGGGATCTCATTCCCGCGGAATTTTTGTGTGTCGAAATAAAATTTCTTCCGTTTTTCGCATAAAGTATCAATTGATATTGATTTGACAATTGCGAGGGGGAAACCGCTGGCCAAAATCTTGTACACCAATGTCCACTCTGGGAAAAAGAAAGTCAGTTACAACCCATTTTGGGGCCCACAATTAGTAATCGAATTATTTAGATTGTTCGTAACTCTAATCTTTTAAGAATTTTATCCCGCGTAACTAAAAGTCACAATTAGCTGTTCTATCTATATCCAAGATTTTTAAGTAATACTAATCAATTCTCTCAATCAGTTCTGTCGATATTCAGTAACGCAAAGCTAATTTTCACTTAAGTGGCACTAACCGAAATGTTAAGTTGTTTAACTACATCAAAAAACGGTCAAAATTTTTCCCAGAGTAGAGTTACGAATAATCCAAATAATTCGATTACTAATGATGGGACCCAAAATGGGTTATAACTGTCTTTTTTTTCCCCCAGAGCACTAATGCCCAGTAGGCATTACTTTATCTTATTACCTTATTTTAGGTTTATAATGCCCCAGCAAGGCCTAATTAGTGCCCAAAAAATGCCCAGTAATACCGCGAATCTGTACACTACAATGCTCTCAGCGGTTCCCCCCTCAAATAATCGTAAACAGAATTGTTAATCATTCGGAGAAAAATTCTCTGAAAATTTATCCTGAAAATCATGCAATCGTGGGACAATATGGCATTTTGAAGAACTGATTCGTCTGCCCATATTCAACCAAGAAATTCAGTTGAGTCAACTAAATTTTGTTTCATTCAACAAAATGGGCCTCCCGGTGTACGATTGAGAAAAAACGATTACAATTAATGTGTGATCCTTGCGATAATTCTATTTGCCGACTCATGTATTTTTTCTTAGGCTCGGTTGCACCATGTCACTTTAGCCTTAGCTCAATTCACTCTTTGTCTTTAAGGAAAACGGGAAGAGAGGAAGTCTTGTCCCGCGATTACACGATTTTCAGGGTAAATTTTAAGAGAAAAGTCTCTCAGTGTATAAACGATGCAATGAGGCAAGTGCAGAACGCGTCAAGCTTTCGTAGAAAGTATAGCGTCATGCTCATGATATCACATTGATGACATCACATTCCGTTAACTCGCATAATCCTGCATATTTACGACGTGATATACACCCGTTGAATATGCTACTGTGCCTCACGTGGTATCGGTTGATCGAATACTTTCATGCTGAGTCAGGGTATAAATTTAGAGTACAAAACTAGCCGGACCGGCCGCAGAAAGGAGGAGTAAATCATCGGTAGGCTGGATTCTGCAGTTTTTTTTCCTACCCGCGTCAATAATAAATATGCATGGCTATCGTGTATCATCTCTCGCGACGCTCTCGGGCTTGCTCGGAAAATTAAAGAATAATGGACGATCGAAGCTAATCCCTTTCTCTCATAATATATTCCGGAATACGTTTGAATACGGGATGCACGTACGTCAGAATTCCCGACCGTGCCTCCATTGTGAGCACCGCCGATGTGATCTCGCGCCGAGGGTAACGCCTACGTCGGGAATTAGCATATCGCGATGCCTCTCGAGATTAGGCGGTCGAAAAATTCCGCGAAAGCACACTTCCGAAATCTCCGGCGAAATCACCTCTACACGGGTTTCTAGGGCGGCGCGCGCGCGCGAGCGCGAAACGGACGCCGCCTCGAGAAAGCAGTTCGAGCCGGCAAATCTATCTCGTTCAACTTCCGTATCTCCTAATATCTTTCCAGCATCCAACGTCGATATCTCCTCGTTAAGACAATTCGCGTCATTTTCTTTCACTTCTGCTCTATTGCCCGCTACGAGACGCCGACGATCCCGTGGTCTTCCAAAGCGATTGCGCGAAGCGCTGGCGCAATATCGCAACCCTCCACGCGGCCAATTCCGCAACGGCCAATAAATTAATCCGCCATCCGACGTGACGGACGACACTTTAATGGGGGGATAAGTCGCCGCCGGGCATAAACAGCCGGTATTCGCAATAATTTTTTATTAGAAACGACAAACGGCGCGGCGCCTCGGCTCGTCCGCCGGTACTCGTAAAACGCGCGACCGGCGAACTTGATCCGATTAACACCATGTCGTTCGCGCGCACAATCGAGCTGCGCGTTTCGTCGCAGACGGCGTCCGTAATTCAGAATAATCTCGCTGTAAAGTACCTCGCGCCTCGTCACCGTCGTCACCGCGAGTCGACTGATCGAAAAAATGGAAACGGCGTGGACGCTACCTGCTTTCTCTCCCCGACGATCAATTCAGCAATCGATCTCGTGACCCGCGAATGCGGAGAATGGCCATTCGTTTCCTAAAGTGGCTCAACGTGTCGCCTACGAATTTCCTCCCGTACCCACCGACGTCTCTCCGCTGTTATTATTTGCGCTAGAATTTATCGATTTCCCGCTACAATGCAGTTTCTCCGTGCGCTCAAGCGAATTATGCGGAGTGTGTCGGTGTCGCCGTAATTATCGACAGTACGTGAAACGCGCGTAGAAAGCGATTAGCTATCTCTGTGCTGAATCAATAGAAAGCTCTCATAACTTATGTCACTCGGACTCGCGGGAGATGCATCCGCGCTCGCGGATCAAACTGGCCCACCTGACGTCTTGATCTCGATCGTCAATTTCTCGCTTCTCTTCGCCCGTGCGCTATCGGAAAGCGAGCGTAATTCCAGACGGAGTCGCAGGACTAAACGGAAGATCCGTACCGATAGAACGAACGTCTCTCTAATCTCGACTATCCGCGCTCTCGCCTCCCGCTTTATCGAGACAGTAAATTAATGAGTTACACGGAGAGATATTACTCGTTACAACATAGGGAATGCCGCTTTAACGCAATCCCCGAGGCCTTTTACGAAAGCTAATAACTTGGTGTCACGAGGATAAAAAAGTTTCAAGGTATCAAAATTCGAAGATTTACGACCCGGAAAGTCGCGAGATCGAAAGAATCTTGCGGAGAGACGTCGCAAATCAAATGTCACTGCCGCGCGAGTAGGTGTGATGGCTTTCTAGGAGATAAACACAATTGTTACGCACCGGGGACCGGGGATTACAACGTGAGCCTCATTGCTTTTTCGGATTTACGAAAGCGAGCATTAGTCACGCCTATCATTCTCACGGTTACAACGATCCCACGGGATAGTATTGTGCTTTACCGGCGAATGTTTGCCCTAGGTGATGAAAGGATCCGAGAGGCCCTTCAGCACGCACTTAAAGTCAACAAGGAGGGCAGCTGCCGGTGGCCACGCGCGAGGGTCATTTCGGTTCGTGACGTTTATCCGAGCCCGTCGACCACCTACATTCCACACTGCGCCATATTGCACAGGTGCTCGGACGACACCGGATGCTGCAAATCGGAAGCGTTCACTTGTGTGCCCAAGCACCCACTTGGGTCCCACCGCGTCGAGCTTTCCTTCTACGTAAGTCCGTCATGTAACTTTATAATATTTTTAAACATCATTCTTTGCCTTTTCAGTCTTTCTCTCTTTCCCGCTCTAATTTTTACGTTGTGCTCTCTGAAAGTCAATCAGCGGGTTATCACTGAAAACAGTGAACAGTCACTGATTCACAGTTATAATTCTACTACTGAAAAGCGCAGTGGTTTATTTACAACTGTGAATCGGTGAGTATTCACTATCTTCGGTGATAATCCACTGATTGACTTTTAGAGGGTGGTCTTCGTATCCACATTCGATAAGATAAAATGTATTGGAAATCGTTTCAACTCTCAAAATAAAATCGTCAGTGTTTCGTGACATTAAGGATCGGTTTATCCAACCTCTTGGTAAACTAACTAACAATTAAATTATATGTCCATCTTTGTTCAATTTCAAGGAGAAACAAAGACATATATCTAAAAATCAATCAGTGAATTATCACTGAAAACAGTGAATAGTCATTGATTTGCAGTTACAAGTACGCTACTGAAAATTGCACTGTAAATCAGTGACCCACTGACTAACTTTTAGAGAGTATTTACTATTAGCTTTAACTTAAGTACCAGGAGGTTGGAACAACCGAGCCCACGAAGAAAAAAAGCAATTGAAAGTAATTCGAAAGTATCACCAAAGAGGCGATGCGAATTTGTTCGGCGATGCGCGACAAATTCAACGCGGGGAATATCTCGCGGGGCGTATCGGAGACATGCGAGGCCGCAATAATTATTAACTACCGCGACGCATAATTTGCCAAGATAACGTATTAGGCGAATTAACGACGCGGCCGTTAGCCGTGCAGACCGGATCGATTGAACGATAAACGGCCTCGTAAGTGCGGGCTCCCGCCGGATAAATCGCCGGTAGGAAGAGGCGCAACCGCACCGGTGCCTCGCCAGGGCAACGAGATGGATGCATCGACGTAAGGAGGGAGACGTTATCCGGCGGGAGAAAGTACCATTAATCGTGTAAACTGAATTGCGGACGATTTATTAGCGGGATATCCCGACAAGATGTCGAGAGAAGAACCAACAATATGCGGGCACGATTTACGGATCGTCGCCGTGTGATATCGAGCCGTTGCAAATCCGCGCAAATTATCTCTCGGCCTGGGTTATAACGATATTTTACATATGCAAGCGCTCCAGCACAACGACCGCTTCTTTTTTTCTATTTCTATGCGCTCAGCCGCGTTACAGCTGGAATTGGATGCCCGCGCGAAATAGTCTTGCGCGTAGAAATAATCGTGGTAATTGGTCCGGTTTTAAGTGGACGCATTAGTGTCACGGAAAACAAGTGGCATTACAGGGCAACCCGGCGTACGTTGGCTAATTGAATTATTTTTGCCTTTATCTAGCTACTACATGCGCAATCAGACATAGTTGAACTGTAAACCGCGACGTAATAAACGACCTCAAATTCGACGCTCGCTAACGATAATAATTCGCGTGTCACGACGGGATTTTTCCCGAAGCTCCGCCGGTAATCTCACATAGGCGAAAGCGGTAAGATATTAAAATCGTGACTTATAAAGTATCTATATCGCTTAGAAAAATATTAAAACCACGGCTTATGTAACGACAATAATTCACAGTGAGACTTTTTCAAGACTCCTGCCGGCAACGTTACGCACTTAAAAGCGGTAAATATCAAAACCATAATGTGTATTAAGTGCCTATATCACTTATACAAATATTAGAATCATAGCTTACATAACGATAATAACTGGCGTATCACCGCGAGATTTCTTTTAAAGCTCTGCCGGCCACGTTACGCGTACAGCGGATAAAATATTGAAACCATAACTTAATATACTTATCCCTGTCACTCCTAGTTGGAGCATAGGGCTTTTAAGAAATTCTACCACCGGCTTCCTTTCCTAACAGTTTCAGTAATCAAGCAGTGTCAGGCTGACGGGTGATTAGCTCATCGAGCCTTAATCTGGAGTCGGGACTGCCAACTATGGCGCCCAGACGCACCTCAGGATGTATCGAACTATTTGAAATTGAACTGCCCTGACTAATCCCCTAAAGGGCTAAGAAGTGGCAGGATGCTCTCGGTGGTTGCCACCTCCCTCCGAGAGAGAGAGGTGGCGTCCGAAAAAACCAACGGTATCTGTGGATGGATTTGATCTTTTCGAATTCATTTGTTTGTTAAACGGCGCACATTTCTCTGCGCCACGCTCGCCACACAGAATATCTATATCGCTTATTAAAAAAAAAAAGGCAAATCTCGTTTCAACCATAACGCGAGAAATGGCACGTTTCTTCCCCTTTCGACATCTCTCGTCCCACGTGCCGTCACGGCATAATTAAGATCCGCGAGGAAACGGATAAATATAAAGCGTGGGTTGTCAATGTACGTCGACTTTCGAGCGCCGTCAGCTTAAGGACGCCGCTTAAGTCCGTTCATAATTTGACGGATGACACGCGCCGTCGTGGTTGGTGGTCCACCGCGTCACTTTAACGGGACAGCTATACTTACGCGCGCGTTTATATGCACGACGATATCTCGGAAAATTGTTAGGTCTCCAATCGCGATGCTGCACGCGCGATTATCATCGGCGATATACAAGCTTAATGCCCGCTCACAATCGCGATCTTGCGCCGACGAACAAGTGCGATTCATACACCCAGAAAGTTTGTTTAAATCGAGGAGGAAACCGCTGGGGGCATTTTGGTGTACAGATTTGCGGCATTACTGGGCATTACTAGGCATTTTTTGGGCATTAGGCCTTGCTGGGGCATTATAAAGATAAAATAAGATAAGACAAAATAAGATAAAATAATGCCCACTGGACATTAGTGGGCATTTGTATACAAGATTTTGGTCGGCGGTTTTCCCCTCGGTTTAAATTTTGACCTCACTACACTTTTATTTAATTTCAAAGAAATGATTTTCTTTACCTCAACCAACATTTTATTTGATTGGGACTGAAATTTCTAAGAGAATTCATATCGTTTCTTCAAATCTAGCAAATGTTTAAGCAGAAGTAAATGAAACTTAGTAGAAATACAATATGATTACAGGTGTCTCATTTAGTTAATCTAACTAAATCTCTTTTCTGGGTGTAGAGAATCGTCTTTACTTATGCGCGATCGGTTTGGGAGAACAGGATTTTTCTCCGCAATTTTTTTCTCACATCGCAATCGAGAAACGACGACCGCACGTGAAGGCACGAAAAGCCGTGCTATTCTCAGCTTTAGATTCATTTGGCGAATCGGTAGTCACGGTGATGCAACTGATCGCGTTTACAGGTTGAATTTAAACCCGCTGCCTCTCTCGCAACTCGATACTTTGCGCAGATTACGGAGGCGATTGATTCCCACCTCGCCGCATGCACACCATCATTTTCGCAGCCGGCTTGACCTAACCCAATTCCGGTTGCACCGGCGGGGAAATTTCGCGATGCACGCGGACCGATTGATTGATTTTTAAGTAATACCTTACGAAACGCAGGCGTAATCATCGCCCTTTAAGTGAAAACGCCGCCGAAACGTAAGTGCCGTTAACAAGCTTGATCATCTCTGGTCGATCACGCCTCGCTTTGCGCAACAAATTCGTCCAATTTTCCGCGAATTTTATCTTGAGCGCCATTTTGCGGTACGGCGGCCGTAAGACGTTCGCGTCATAAATATCCAATTAAAAGTAAATATAACAAATCCGTTCCTCCCTCATTATACGCCCGTGACGCCAAGTCGGATTAATTACTCGCCGAAGCTTTCGTCGCGATGGCCGGCCCACCATTGGTGTATTATTATCTCTGCGTAATGAATACGTAATGTCATAACCGCGCGCGTATTGAGTGTACCATAAGTCACCTCGAGACCGCCTGGGCGAATCGAGAGAGAGAGAGAGAGAGAGAGGAGGAGGCAATTAACAGTTTATGGCGTTTTCATTAAAAATTAACGAAAGGGCCGAATGGTCTTCCGATGAAAACCCACGCGTCCGACTGCCGTACGATAAGAACTATGAAATATCGCATATGAGTATGAAACGTTCCTTGAAGTCAACGTACCACGACTCGGGTAAAATATGTATCGGCGATCTGTCTCCTTTTTCTTATACGCGTTACACGTGTATCACGCGCGATCGGTGTGAGTAGCGCTTAATTAATTGCGCTCCCAACACAACACCCGTACGGAACCGCGCCGGAATGCAAAAGGAAATCGAAAGTGAACGAGAGACTCCCGTTCGACACGGGAGAATACTGACCCTTGATCTCTCTTTTCGATTAATTGCGAGAGCACGAGATTTCCCCATTCCTCCGACTTTCTCTGGAACCTGGTGATTTGTGAGTATGTTAATGTCCTACACTCATTATTAAATTCCTGCATTAAGTTGCCGCGAGAGAGTAATTCACGGTCCACGACCGTAATGTCATGTCTCTGTCGATGTTTATTGATTATCGGCGGCCTCGCGACGATTATAGGAATCACGCGGCTTATACGGATCTTCATCCCACGCGTTAATGTTTCAATGACCCCCGCGTGGAATTCAAATCCCCTGCTACTGAACCTAATGAATCAATTAATCCGGGTGATAAATGCGCCCCATTTATATCGACCGCGGAACGGACGACGGACAAGTGCAGCACCGTAGGATATTAATCGTTTCTTATCTGTGCGCGAGAGATATTTTACACTTGAGAAAAGAGACATCTGTCTAGTGGGAGACAGCGAACGATTGTATTCTAAAAAGAGATTTACGGACGAGGCAGAAATCAATTCTCGATATCTTATCGCACAGAGATATGACATAGGAACCGCGATGGTTCGACAGTTCTCCACCTTGAACGTGCTGGACTTTCTTGAATACATGTACAGTGATGGGCAGGATGGTTGCGACTTTTTTTTTTAGTGAGTTTAGAAACGCGCATTTAGATTCAGGTTTACGTGCCGAAACGTTTTCGCTGGGACAACACGGCATTTTGAAGAACTTTGTGAGAGTTTTCTGAAATTTTAACACACATTTTACTAGTAAAA